AGCAGTTAATCTGCTCCTGCTCCAAACAGAAGACTTGACTTCTATCTACTAGTAATAAATATATTGTGTAAACCCTCATTTACTTATAATTATGAACATATGGCAGCATGGTAACCACACTGCCCTCTAGTGATGTTAAAATGAGTATAAATTATTAAATGAATTATTCCAAGCTACACATGATCCATTCTAAATTTCAGAATGAACGGAGACAATAATAGCCTATTTAAGTTCATTACTTAATGTGGATGCACATATACACCATCCTGCACACAACAGTATACTATATCCTGCCATTTGGAATTGGAAGTACTATTAGCTAAGAGTAACTGTTTCATGTACAGGAATGCAGACAACACAAGCTGCTGATGTGAGGAATCATGTTGAACAACAGAACTGCATCAGGTCAGGCATAGAACAGGAAACAGGAAGTATAAGGCAATGCAATATTACCATATGCAAGTAGGGTCACGGTATTTGCATAATAGCTCTATAACATCTCCCTTTTATATATTCAATTCAAACCTTGTAAACAATTAAACTAAAACAGATCCTGAACAGTCTTGAACATGGCATACTGTGTTACTGGTAGATACATTACAGATTGAGTCTATCTGGTGGTCTTGAAACTCATCAACTACGCAAGGCCACAGGGATTTTGCCTGAAGAAATCCGTTCAGCTCCAGAAGGTGTTGATAAGGAGCTACCCTCTTTCCTGGCTGGTGTGTTTGGCAGAGAAGAACTTGACAGGATATGTGGCTGCATTATGTCATCCTCATTGTATCCCAATATGACAGCAGAGTTCTCTCTGCTTTGAGTATATGGTCCAGTAGGACTCGGGGCATTGAGCACCTCAGGAGGATCGCGTGCAGGATGCTCATAGTCTTGTGCTGCCCTTAGCAGGTCCACTCGATTGCAGTGGTAAAGACTGCCTTCTACATCCACAAGATATGATCGAAGAGCAACCCTCTGAACACAGGAACCAGTCTCCAGCGACCGGTCCTGTCACCTGGAAGCGGCTTCATAAGGATTGGCTCTCCAATGCTTAGTTCAGATAAGTCTTTAGCAGACACATCGTATGACAGTTTGGCAATCTGTTTCCTCCGCTGCAGTTTCGCCGGGACACCTGTAACCACACAAGGATCAAGTAATTTGTTGGCCACAGGCAATGAAGTCTTCGGTCTCCTAGACATCAAGCGCTGTGCAGGACTACTGTCCATGCCTTCAGATGGGGTGTAGAATGGCCTTCCATGGATCAGTACCATCAAACTTGGCCTTACAAAGATTCTTCACTATCTAGACAGTCGATTCCGCTTTGCCATTGGCTTGCAGGTGCCTCGGGGATGAAGTAACATGCCCGAATCCCCAATCTGTAGAAAACCGTCTGAATTGTTCACATGCAAATTGAGGTCCATTATCCGAGATTACTCTATTCGGCTGGCCATAACGTGCAAACTGTGCTTTACAACGCTTGGTGGTAGTATCAGCAGACAGGTCAGGAAGTAGCTCAATCTCCCAAAAGTCCGAATAGTGATCAACAATTAGTAGAAAATCCTGCCCAGCATAATTCAGTAAATCCATGCTTACAATTTGCCAAGGCCGGGTGGGTAGCACATGCAACATCATAGGTTCTTTCTGTTGTGCCTGCGCATATTCATTGCATGCCGATCAACAGCTAACAAAGTCTCTAATCTCGTTCTCCATGTTGGACCAGTATAGGGTATCACGTGCTTGCCTATAACATACTTCTCCGCCAATGTAACTGGCATGAATACAAGTCAGCATCTCCGATCTTAAAGATTTAGGAATGATGATCCTTGGCCCCTTGTACAGTATACCAACTTGGAATCAGGCCAACCATTCAGAACAACATATTTAAGAGCCTGCAAACTCTCATCGGTTTCAGTGTGCTGTTTTATCTGAAGCAATCATTGGTCTGTGACGTTTAAATAGTCTGAATGATTAATCTGTGACAGGACATCCAGGTCCCGTTGAACATTGTAAACTGTGTGTTGTGCATACTCAGGTGTACCACCTGCTGCTGTAGCTCTGTTAAGAGTGTCACTAATGTACATTTCAGGACCAGGTTTATAGACAACATTTAGGCAATAGGTTTGTAACGTGAGAAACATGCTCTGTAGACGTTTGGGTGCACACAAAAGTGGTTTCTTGAAAATAGAAATCAGAGGTTTATGGTCAATTTCTGCCGTGATCTCGTCGCGCCCATAGAGGTAGTGGTGAAAGTGCTGGCAGGCAAACACTATACTTAGACATTCCTTTTCTATTTGTGCGTAGTTTTGTTCAGTAAGAGTCAGTGTCCTTGAAGCAAAAGCGATAGGCTGGCCAGCTTGCAATAGGCAACACCCAAGTCCAGTTTTGCTTGCATCACTTTGAATAGTTACAGGTTTTGTAACGTCATAGTACTTCAGGACAGGTGTGTGTCCATGACCAAGCGTTTGATGTCCTACACTGCATTATCATGCTTAGGAAGCCAATGCCAAATAGCGTCCTTGTCCTGAAGCCTTCTCAATGGCTTGCAGACCTCTGAGAGGTGTTGTCAGGGCTCCCGGGTATGACCAGAGGTGTGTGTGACTGACGCAGGGAAATGCAGACTTCAGATATGTTATAAACAATGTAATTTATTAACACTAACAATACAAACATAAACGCAGTGCAATACTAAAACATAACACAGTGCAAACAAACCAACCAACCACCCACAGATAACAGTACATACAATGCAAGCGTCGTCAGGCAGGCCGGGTCAATATCAGTCGGGCAGGTAGGTACAGGGGAGCAAGCGGAGAATGGTCGGGTCACAGGCCAGGTTCAGCAGGTAGCGGGCAGCATGGTACAGAGGGTCAGGCAGAGGAGAATGGTCAGACAAGCCAGGGATCAGAGCAGGGTCAGCAGAGAATCAGACAGGAACAGAGAGCAGGAATAGGATACAGGGCCCAAGAGAAACACAACACCAAGGCAGAGTCTGCAGGACTGAATGTCCCTTAAATACACCAGTATAATTAGTTCCAGGTGTTTGACTGGCTGCAAGGTTGAGTCTCTGATTGCTGGGAGCACCCGCTGGCCAGCCCTGGTACTGCAGCTCATAAGGCAGCTGAGTCCCACTATTGCTGGCCAGTCCATTCCTGACAGTACCCCCCCCTCAAGGAGCGGCCTCAGGACGCTCCAAACAGTCCTAGCTGGGCAAAATGTTCCACCGCCCGGGTCTGGTAATTGGCGGGATATCAAAGACTGGCACACCGGGCAGCGGCACACCTGGCAGAGGCACATCGGGCAGGACTCCGGGCAGAGGCACATCGGAGCTGGACTCCGGGCAAAGGCACATCGGGCTGGACTCCCGGGCAGAGGCACTCTGGGCAGCGGCACATCGGGCTGGACTCCGGGCAGAGCACATCGGGCTGGATTCCGGGCAGAGGCACATCGGGCTGGACTCCGGGCAGAGCACATCGGGCTGCACTCCGGGCAGAGGCACATTGGGCTGGACTCCGGGCAGAGGGCACATCAGGCTGGACTCCGGGCAGAGGCACATCAGGCAGAGGCACACCGGGCAGAGGCACATCGGGCAGAGGCACACCAGGCAGAGGCACACCGGGCAGAGGCACATCGGGCAGGACTCCGGGCAGAGGCACATCCGGTAGGACTTCCTATTTCCGGGCAGAGGCACATCGGGCAGGACTCCGGGCAGAGGCACATCGGGCAGAGGCACATCGGGCAGGACTCCGGGCAGAAGCACATCGGGGCAGGACTCCGGGCAGAAGGCACATCGGATTACCAGGCGAAGCAGCAGGCAGGGGGCCACCAGGCGCAGCAGCAGGCACCGGCCCCCAGGCGGAGCAGCAGGCACCGGGCCCCCAGGGGAGCAGCAGGCAGCGAGCCACTCACCAGGCGGAGCAGCAGGCAGCGGGCCCCCGGGCGGAAGCAGGCAGGCAGCGGGCCCCCGGGCGGAGCAGCAGGCGCCGGGCCCCCGGGCGGAGAGCAGCAGGCACCGGGCCCCCGGGTGGGGTGACCGCATCGGGTCTCGGGTCCCAGGCGGAGTCGGCGGGCGCCGGCCCCCCAGGCGGGGCGACAGGCGTCGGGCCCCCAGGCGGGGCGACAGGCGTCGGGCCCCCAGGCGGGGCGACAGGCGTCGGGCCCCCAGGCGGGGTGACAGGCATCGGGCCCCCAGGCGGGGCGACGGGCATCGGCCCCCAGGCGGGGCGGCGGGCGCCGGGCCCCCAGGCGGGGGGCGACAGGCATCGGGCCCCCAGGCGGGGCGACAGGCATCGGGCCCCCAGGCGGAGCGGCGGGCACCGGACCCCCAGGTGGAGCGACAGGTCTCGGGGGTGGCCCTCAGGCGGAGCGGCGGGCGCCGGACCCCCAGGTGGAGCGACAGGTCTCGGGCCCTCAGGCGGAGCGGCGGGCGCCCGGACCCCCATGTGGAGCGACAGGTCGCTCGGCCCTCAGGCGGAGCGGCGGGCGCCGGACCCCCAGGCGGAGCGACAGGTCTCGAGCCCTCAGGCGGAGCGGCGGGCGCCGGACCCCCAGGTGGAGCAACAGGTCTCGGGCCCTCAGGCGGAGCGACAGGTCTCGGGCCCCCCAGGCGGGGCGGCAGGCGCAACGGACCCCCAGGCAGAGCGGCGCGGGCGCCGGACCCCCAGGCGGAGCGACAGGTCTCGGGCCCCCAGGCGGAGTGGCGGGCACCAAGTCACCAGGCACGACAGTGGGCTCCGAGTCAACTGGCATGACCGCTGGCACTGGGTCAGACATTGGATCGTCTGGCTGGACAGCGGGCATCGGGTCACCAGGCATCAGGTCATTTGGCTCGACAGCGGGCACCGCGTCATCTGGCAAGGCAGTGGGCTCCGAGTCAATTGGTATGACCGCGGGCACTGGGTCAGACATTGGATCGTCTGACTGGACAGCGGGCATCGGGTCACCAGGCATCAAGGTCATTTGGCTCGACAGCGAGCACCGCGTCATCTGGCAAGGCAGTGGGCTCCGAGTCAACAGGCACGACAGTGGGCACCGGGTCATCAGGTACCGGATTGTCTGGCTCGACAAGCGGGCATCTGGTCACCAGGTATGACAGCGGGCACTGGGTCACCAGGCATCAGGTCATTTGGCTTGCCAGCGGGCACCGCGTCATCTAGCAAGGCAGTGGGCACCGGGTCACCAGGCATTGGATCGTCTGGCTCGACAGCGGGCATCGGGTCACCAAGGTATGACAGCGGGCCCTGGGTCACCAGGCATCTGGTCATTTGGCTCGCCAGCGGGGCACCGCGTCATCTGGCAAGGCAGTGGGCACCGAGTCACCGGGTACGACAGCGGTTTCTGAGTCAATTGGCACGATCAGCGGGCACCGGATCAGGTACCGGATCATCTGGATCAACAGCGGGCATCGAGTCAACTGGCCTAATAGGATCGTCAGGCTGGATCAGTTCATCATGCTGGGTAGAGGCATCAGGCTGAATGCCGGCGTCCGGCTGAGTAGAGGCTTCAGGCCGAGTAGAGGCTTCAGGCCGAGTAGAGGCATCAGGCCGAGTAGAGGCTTCAGGCCGAGTAGAGGCTTCAGGCTGAAGAGAGGCATCAGGCTGCGTACAGGCATCAGGCCGAGTAGAGGCATCAGGCTGCGTACAGGCATCAGGCTGAGTACAGGCATCAGGCTGAGTACAGGCATCAGGCCGAGTAGAGGCATCAGGCTGCGTAACAGGCATCAGGCTGAGTAGAGGCATCAGGCTGAAGAGAGGCATCAGGCTGCGTACAGGCATCAGGCTGCGTACAGGCATCAGGCTGAGTAGAGGATTCAGGCTGGATGTAGATGATCATGGTGGGTAGGAGCCTGTTGTGGAATGCAGAATAAGGTTTTGTTGTGGAAATGAGAGTGAGAGGAGCGAGGGAGCTGTTGGTGGGGTTGAGGTAAGCTGACTAGGCTGGGTCTACAAGTCTGTCCCATGTCTGCACTAAGTGGGATTTAACATACTGAGGGTACACATTTAAGCCTAGTAATATGTAACAAAGAGCAGACTAGCGATATATACAAGTGGAGGGTCTATAGTGGGTCTAGGTAAGAATCATGGTGTTAATACACGCTCCCCATGAAGAGTAACCCCCAACATCCTCTGAGAGTAACACACCAGTTTGGAACTCTACCTGGTCGCAGGATGTATTTAATGGTGTTTAAATAAGAAATCATCCCTAAGTTATTCGCGGATACCAGATGATGAGAGACCAACAGTGAGTATTTATGTGTAACCTGATAATGATGAAATGGGGTTCAGAGAAACTTTTTTGATTACTAGTACATGAGTGACCCGTATACATTCCTAGTGGGAGTGTGTATTTGGATATTACACCACCTCAATTTGAATAAGCATTATGATTATCAAAACACTAGCAGGATATAAAATACACACCTCACCAGGATCCAACCTTCCATCAACAAGCCAAGATGGCTTCCCTGTTCAGCTCACTTCTGGTCAGGAAGTTGGCCCTTGGTGTAATGTCGAGGGCGCCCGGTAGAATGTTATGACCGAAGTAGTGATAAAACTAACGCAGGTTGAAACGCAACTTCAGATATCTTATAAACAATGTAATTTATTAACACTAACAAAACAAACATAAACGTCAGTGCAATACTATAAACATGTATTACAGACCCCAAACTCTCAGTGCAAACAAACAAACCAACCCACCCCCTGATAACGAGTACATACAATCATTAAGCGTCGTCATGCATGATGCCGTGTCAATTTACAGTCGGCATGGTAGATACATACACTGGGGTCAGCAAGCGGAGAATGGATCGGGTCACAGCCAGGTTTCAGCAGGAGCGGGCAGCGTGGTACAGAGGGTTTGGAAGCAGGGGAGAGAAATGGTCAGATCGCATGCCAGGGATCAGAGGCATGGTCAGCAGAGAATCCAGACAGGTTCTGAAGAGCAAGCAGGATCATGATACAGGGCCCAAGAGAAACACACAACACCTAATGCAGAGTACTGCAGGTTGAAAGTCCCTGGTAAATTATACTCCAGTATAGTTATTCCATTTTTAAAGGGGTTGACTTGGCTGCAATGTTGAATCTCTGATTATGCAGGAGCTACACCCGCTGGCCAGCCCTTGTACTGGCCAGAAGCTTCATAAGGCACTGCAGACCCACTAATTGCTCGGCCAGTCCATTTCTGACATGTTGTGGTAGGAATTTTGCCTAGGATAGCGTAACAAATCCAAATGAAGCGCTACAAGGTATTTCACACCTAGCTTGGCTGCGGCATATCCAGTATGGCTCTGATTTTTTTTTTCAGGGTCAGCCTTTCAAAAAAAACCCTCTCCAAGTTAGATAATGTGTGAAAGCATAACCATCTTTGACCTTGAATTGCAGTTTTTGTTCCCATGCCAAGTGCTCATTTTAACTGCACTACGACTGATTTTCATTCAGTTTTCCAGCAAGTTTGCCATCATGATCTTGGCTCTGCTTCCTCCATCTGTGTGCCCCCATCAGCCAACCATCAATGGATGTCATCAGCTATTGGTTCAATACCACTGATGTCCAGCCAATAGTTCATGTTGTTCTTAACCGTTGATACACCTCTGGTGCAACTGATCCACTCCAAATGCAGTGTTGAGCCCATCCTTTTTCCTGCCCCACTGGAGATTTCAGAAGGATTGTCCATGTATACTGCTTGCATCATCCATACTTACACTGTAGAAAAATGCATCTCCCGTCATCAACAGCGTGAACAGACGTGCCTTTAGGCCAGCTTGTACATAACATCCTCGTGAGTTGGCATGATGTAGTGAGCATTGACTCAGTGCCATATATTAAGAAATTTGGAATTCTATGCAAATTCACGAAAGCTATTTTGGCTTCCGTAACAATTCACCATGTTTACTTATCCAGCTCAGTTGGGTCAGTCACAGAGCCAAGTGTCCAATTGGCCTCATACTGGTCTAAGCAGTCCTTTAAACTGCCATGTTTAAATGCCAACTTCGCCACATATGGACCTGGGAATGACTCACTCGACAACTCAAGGTCAAAATTGAACTTCTCCTGGTACAGAATCTACTGGCCCCAGTAAACACATCTGTCACACGAATGAGGGGGGGGCCCTCCAATTTACTATTTCTGCTTACTCCTCTCATTAATGTCCCCATTTATTAATTCCCCTCATAAATCCCTAGCGGCGCCAGAGGAAGCACATCCTCTATTAATGTCCTCCACTCTCAGATGGCCAAATAATTCCATAATTCAATTAACTGATCTCCTTTTCCTGGCATCCTGCTTTATGTCCCCAAAAAAAGGCTCCTTTATAGCCCAAATTCAATTAACGGTTATCTCCCTTAACCTGGCATCCTGCTTTATGTCCACAAAATGCAGCCTTATGTGTTAACCACGTGGAGTGTGGTGTTCCTGCCACCAGAGATAGCGAGATCACACCTCCTCCTTGGAGAGGTGCGAACCACCTGCTGGGATGTTCCTGGCCAGGGTGTCAGACTGCCGCCCTCCCGGACCTGTAATCCTCAGCAAGACGGGGGGGCACAAAGAGTTTCCTTGTGCTTGCAGATGTCACTGGACAAAGGTCGGTCTCTCACCATGAAGCAATGCCCAGGTCCAGGGGCGTGCCTCGTTCCGCCCCCCCCCTATGGGCGACTGAGGCCCGCCGGCCCGGCCTCGGCCCGCCACTAGTTGCCAGGATGGACGGAGAGCTTCCTGCATCAGCTTAATAAGCTGATGCTGAGGCCGGGGCCCCCCCCCCTTTCCCCCTCCCGTCATGCCATCGGCCGCATTGCGAGTCACTGGAGGGAAGCCCAAGCTGCAGCGGCGAACCCTCGTGACCATATTCCTGCCCTGACACCCCTAAGCCTTAGGGGTGAGATCGAGCCTGTCACCTGCCCTGAGAACCCAGCTAAGGGAGACTGCCTGCGCAGACACCTGATAACCCCAATGTCCAAGAGGGATTGCCTGCCTAGTCAACCTGAGACCCCAAGCCAAAGGGGGATTGCCTGCCTGTTGCCCTGATACCCCCCAAGCCAAGGGGGATTGCCTGTCAGCAGCCTGAGACCAACAAGCCAAAGGGAGATTCGCCTGCCAACAGGCCTTAGCCCACCCTAGCCACGGGAGATTGCCGTGCCAGCTGCCTGAGACCCCAAGCCAAATGGGATTGCCTTGCCCGCTGCCTGAAACCTCCAAGCCTAGGGATGAAGACCACCCTGCCAGCTGCCTGATACCCCCCAAGCCTAGAGGAGGGGCGACTCACCTCTTCTGGAACCCCAACAGGTACCTGCACTCCTACCTATCCTAGCCCCTGGGAGACCCTTGTCACCCTATCGATCCGTGAGCGGCAGGTCTCCCCCTGTTTTACCTGAACAGTTCCTGAGTGATGACCCCCATGCCCCCATTGGTTGGATTTATCAATTCTGTCCACAGAGACTTTTACTTTTGCCCTTGGTGCTCGGACTACAAGTATTTTTAATCCCCCATCCTCGCAGTCCCCCCTATTGCGAGACCAACAACTCTCCCGGCAATCCCCCCATTTGATTGGACTGTCATTTTTTTTGTCCTCAGTTAAAGCTTTGTGTGGTTTGCCATCTGCTGCTGTATGGTTTCTGTCCCCTGCCCTACCCTCCATCACAACACGCTAAATTACTTAGCAGCAGTTGTTTTGTCAAGGGCCCTTGGATAATTGTCCAACACATAAGCTCTGCAGGGACGGAGAAACGTATCAGCCCTAGACGCTCACGGGTTAGCCAGACAACATGGCTTTTGGCCCGGGTTCCAAAAATTCAAACTCCCCGCCCTTTTGTGTTTTGTCCAGTTTTGGCACTTTTTTCTTTAAGAACCCTAAAAATTTTTATAATCCCCACCGGGGAAATAAACTTAACCTTGGGGTCACTTGGCAGAAACGTGCTTCTGGGCTAAAAAACCCCTTTTGGGTTTTTTAACACATCACATCACAAAATTGCTCCTGAATCAAGCGGGCAGGTTTTGGGGGTTAATTTTTTAAAGTAAAGTG